AAAGGAAAAAAAAAACAACCACTGCCTACAAACCTAGTAGGAAAAGAGTCTCATTCTCCACCTATTCAATTTTAACATGTTCCAGTCACCACTGGATTATTCCACTGCTATAAGAGAGGGGAGTTCTTTTATTTACTTGTAATGGGAAGGTACCATTTCTTAGTACTCATGCATGCTGATGTGACTGTTGCTTTATAGAGCAGACAGGCTTCCCTCTCCTGGGATCAAGCTGCAGCCTACAAAGAGGCAGATGTTAACATATGAGGGAAGTGAAAACTTTCTCCCTGAACAACTTCATTTTTTCCATTAAATGCTATGCAAAAATTGTTTGTCATTTGTATTGTGGTATATAGGCATTTTCTAATTGAAATACCAGAAATTGTTTGGAAAACTGTGAACAACAAGGAAAGGCAACAGTTTAGTCACAGAGACATGTTCAAATGCCTCATGCATATTCCCTGTATCTGTTAAGCACATAAAATAGGCCATGCAAGTAGTGTAGAAAGGAGTACCTTGAAAGTTAAAAGAGAAAAGTTTGAACATGTAATCAAGATAGCAGAAAAGTACTTTGAATACTGTTGAAATACACAACTAATTTACATATAGTGTTCATTACATTAATAGAAAGCATTTGTGTTATTCAGCTAGTGATGACAAAGATTTAATTCTACCTGATATTTCCTGCTTTCAGAAGGCCAATTGTCTATCAGCATTCCATGGAAAATCTATAGACATCTTTGAAAAACAAAATGCAACTAACTTCTGTTAGAAAACGAAGTGAAAATAAAATGGCACCCAACCAAAGAGGTGGCAATTGCGGGTGGAATAAAAAAAAAATGTGGGTGGAATAACTGAATGAATCAGAAGGGTTCAAAAATATCACACTGGTGATTATATTCATTCATGCCCAGTTCCCTTAGCTGCACCTGCTTATTGCATGAGGAATGAGGGTATGTTGCTGATCACATCCCTGGCAGGACTCTCAATGCCAGTATGACTAGTCCCACAGGAAGCATTATACTGTGTTCTGTAATCCCATAGGCATTAGGAGGATAAATACACTGGGTGGGCTCTACTGTAGCTCACTGTCCCACAGTAACTCCACTTAAGAAGCTGCTGAACTGACCTCAGAAGTCAAGAGCATTAATCAAATGGCCACCAAGTTTAAATGGTCATCTGGTTACAGAATTAAAATTTTGGGCTCCTGTCTTTTATTATGGACAATACACTACATTGGATGCAGGTAAGAGCAAACTATGTTAAAATTAAGACATTTAGACAGTGCTTGAGTAAAAGGTCCTGTTAAACTGACTTAACTGAAGACGTCTTTGGATTGTTTTTTTTTTTAGTTAGTATAATCTTAGATAAACAGCTGGCCAAACTTCAAACATTATGTATTGTAATGCTTGCTTACATTACCCCAACTTCCAGCACTGCCAGTGTTCTACACTGCGGAGACTGGAACTTCATTGCTTCCTGAATAGCCACAGGACTGTGAAAGCAAGCCCTTGGGCTGACCCAAGTGTCCTGCACTGGTTCACAATCTGCCAGAGAATTTGCTCTGTATTGTCTGGACAATGCCTTAAAAACAGGGATGTTATAAAATAAGATTATAGAAAATAATATAATAGATAATATAGTAAAAGCTTTATTCACTTTCACAGAAATGTATTAAGAACATAAACATGATACTCCTTCCTGCGATTCACCATGTGAATAACAATAACAATAACAGCTTAACAGGTTTAAAGCCCTTACAACATGTTCTGCTGGTTGAAATTTAAATAAAAAGGTATTGCTGACAAACAACTTTTTAACATGTATAAGGTTGTTTCATACTGTTTTGTGAAGGTTTAGTCAAACACCTGTTTAATAACTGAAGTGTCTCATCAGTCACATGCTCTGGTCTTAATAGGTAGATTCTTGTATTTATATAAAGATATTCTTGAGCTTGACAGAGTGTGTAGTAATTAAACATAATTTAATAAATCAATATACAGGACATAAAATCTGTGCAATGGCTAATTTTTAAATAGAGGTTGTCACTTAAGTACTAAGTTGCTTTCATTAACAAATTTCAGTGGTTTAATGGGAAAAAGTTTTTAAATGCCAGCTACAAACTATTTCTGGTTCAAGGAATGTTTTATCATTATATTAAGACCACTGGCAGGTAGTAAAGTGTATCCTACATTTTCCAGGCAATTTGAAATATGAATAATGTTTTATTCATTATTCATCATTATTTCATTGTGGATATTTATTGCCCACAGGCTTTTCAGCAATTGAAATAGCCTTTGGTTAAAAAGGAAATACTATTTCACTTTCTTTAAAACTCAGAAATTTATATTGAAGTACCAGCAATAATATTGTAACTGAATCTAATAGTTTACTGTGTCCAAACTAGCAGTGCTAAGTAGATGCAGCCATGCTAGCAATAAACACTGTCTGCATCCCAGGACAAAAGGTAATTTTCCACTTAAGGTCTTAAGCTTATACAAGATGACACTGATATGTTTATTTGTAAATTAGAAACTAAAATGTGGTCTTTAAAAAACAGAGTTAAAAACATTTAACTGAAAATGCTTCAAAGCTAAAAAAAAAAGAGCTAAAAACCTAGGGAGCTAGCTTTTTGTGTATTTTCAACAGATGCTTTCCAGAAAGGAATAATTGCAAAACACCTGCAAATACAAAGAACTTATAACTACAAATAATAGATATTTACAACATATATGAATGGATCTCCAACCCCACTCCTAAAGAACTCCAATGTGGATAGGTCTAAGGATACAAACACATCTCCTGCATTTCTTTCTATACAGTATATAGGGAAAAAAAAATGTAACAGTAACATTTCAGCATGTGGATTGCAAAGGAACAACAAGTTGTTAATATCCATATAGAAAAAGTGAAAGGTTAAATACTGTATTATTTTCTTCGTTCTTTATACTTCTCAGCATGGGACTATTGTCTGCTTGTTTCTAACAGTAAACACTTTTTGAAGATGCACATGAAATGAGACATGAAGTGCTGGCCTTAGAAAGACCATAGTCCATATTACAGCAGCGCCACCATACTTCTTGTAGAATCCCACCAGGAAAGGCTGCAAAAGGGCAGCAGCCTTGTCCCTCTGTTGCATTTCTTTTGCAATGAGAACAAAACAGGATGTGGGAATTTCCTCCCTCCACAGGTTGAGCCTATCTCGCTCCATAAGGCTGTAACGTCAAAGAGCTTCAGTGGGACTGTTCAGATAATGGTATCCAGACATCCCATAAGAGTCCTGGCTCAGAGCCACAGAAACTGTCACCTTAGCAAAAACATGGCTTCATCAGACTACATGATCATTTAACAAAGTCCATTTCTGCAAAAAATCAATCAACATATGTTCTTGTTATACTGTGTTATATGTGCTCTTAACCGTGTGGATCTTTTAGTGTTTATTAATGACTTACCCAGTTGTACCTCAACACTTTCATTAGGTACAGTACAATAGTACATACTGACCTCGGATTTATATTGAGTATTTTCAGATGCTTTTTGTCATCTGTACCTATTAGAAAAGGTTCCATAAGACTGCCATTTTTCAGTCTACAAGTTGCTTTGACACTAATAGATCAACCTAGCTTCATCTACTTCAAAAATACGTAGAAGTTTCAAAAGGACATGAAAAATAAGTTACTTGTCGCAAAGACCACTGCAATCTAGCTAACAGATACGAGTATATTGAAGTATTCAAAATCTCATTCTGACCACTATTTTAGGAGTCTAGGAGTTACATTTACAGCTTTATGGGTTTTGTAGAAATCTGCAAAATTAACCTGCAAACTATAAAATCTGCAACACAATAATAGAGGATTCTTCTTTCTAAACCTTATAACACTAGTACAATCTTAGCAGATAACTGATTGACAAGGTACTTAATAAGATTGCTCTAGTAAAATATGCACACACCCGAAGAAGGCTCCACAGCCGAAACGTTGTGTTTTTCTTTTCAGCATGGAATAAACCTTTATGTGTTCCTTGGAGGCCTACACACGCTGATGCAGCTATCTACTTGAACTATCTAAAATATGTAGCTGTATGAATGGATATAAATGCCAGTTTGAATAAAAACATAAGCCAAATAACTGCAAAATGGTAGAAAGTGATTCGGTGTTGGATGTTATAGCTGCTATTGTATAAGCTTTCTCTGATGTCCTAAAAGGAGTGAAGTGCAATTCACTTCACATGCAATGCACAATTTATTTCTGGTTACTGAAATTTCACATTCAAGCTTCCTGTATGTGCGTACACTTGCTCAATTAAAAAGACAATGTTCAAATATTGCCCAAGACACAAATTACAACACATAAGAGTTCATTTCCAGACAAAGGGGAAATCAACCAGTTTTTCTTTCACCTGAATCACGAGAATACAAGGTACATTTTGTAGTTAATTGCACTAAGTTACCATGCAAATATAAGGGATGAACTGAAACCATACTACGCACATAGTATTTGTTTAAACTCTTTTTTCCATTAAAGCCAAAGGTGCCTTTGATTAACAAATGAACTATCTAGTTGAGAATATAATATTTCATGCACATTGGAAGCTGGTGAATTTCATAAGCTGAGTCAAAAATATGGTATTATTTTTAGTCTGCCAAACTGGAGACTATCACAGACCAGAAGTGTTCCACTGAACCACACAAAGCCAGTACTGTGTGCATTATCAGCCACTACCACCTCAGATTAAACAATGACCTGCAAATATCTTTAGTGCTGTTTGTCTTTTTTTCTCCAATTAGCTGCCTATTCTGTTTATATATAAAAAAATTACTCTATATCAAAAACTCCTCAAGTTAGAGTATCTTGTACTGCATACTGAACACGTACTGCCTTACACTTACAGTACACTTACCTTTTTTATTTGTGTGTTCATTAAGGCCTAAACATCTGAACCCTTTAAATACAGAATGTAACCAATAACCGCCAGAATAAAGTATCAAGAGCTGTTAACTGTACCTCAAGGACTTTTCCAGTGATGAACTGATGACAGGCCTCACACTGGACTCCGAAGTGAATCTGATAGTCCTTTTCACAGTAAGGAGCACCATCCCTACGAAGGAAAGACAATAGTTCTCAGAAACTGGGCCTACGGGAATTTTCAACATACAGTAGCTAAGTAGGAAACAATGCATTTAAAAACACCTAGCATGGCACTGGTTTGCTTTAAATAAATTTATTCATCTAAAGATGAAAGGTCAGAATCAAGGGATTGCTGGAAAAATACATAAGAAAGGTTACAAATGAGAGGAGGCCGTTTGGCCCATCTACAGTAACCCCAAAGTACTTTGTTATGTGAAAACAGAAGTGTTAGATCAAAAATATATTTATGTTTTTTATAGGAGACAAAGGAACTGAGTATCACCATGGCGCTGCTAGAAATTAGGTTCAATTAGATTAGCTGCAAGTCATACATGTCTCACGTTGCTTTAGAAGCACTGTGTAGAGGAGCAAACAATGAGAAAGTGTGGCGATTTTCCACAACAACTTAAGGGACTACTTGTTAACCAACTGCAAAATTAAAGGACTTAAATCTGAAAGAAAAAGTAAGCTCAAAGGCTTGCCATATTAAAATGGGCAACCTTTCACAAAGTAGGAATAGCAAAGCCCTTTCATGCCTGGGGCATTGCCATTTTTTGTTTAGTCAAGAATCAAGGCCAAGCTACCACTTGCTCCTGTCTTGGTGCTAGGCTTTGAGCTTGATGCTGCATCATACATGTTGTTAAATAATGCAGGAATCCGTTACGTGGAGAAAGTTATCAGTGGCTCACAAGAGAGAAAACAAATGAAGACAAATAGCACCACCTACTGGGTTGTAGTAACCCTACATGTTCTTTGGAGACGGGCCAGTTGATTCACTTTGCCACAAAACATGTTGTGTGAGAACAATCGAAAGTCTCTTGTATTTGAGGCTCTAAGAGGCAGACCATGTTAATGACACATTTATGGTTAATCATGGAAATTTACAAGCAAACGTCGTACTTCTACCATGGTTTTCCTTTACATTTTACAGCAAATCTCCAAGTGGTAACTACAGTATGGCGTCATATGGCTATATTACACTTTTAATTATGTGATTTATCAAGATTGCCCTTAACACATGATTTACCGAGATAATTCTTGGTGAGTATAGTCTAGTATGTTAAAACACAAGGAATGTAATCTGAGAACTCCAGACTCAGGTCTTCACCTTTGCCGATGTCCAGGTTCCATGCAATGGGTGAGAGACTTTATTTTGTGAACAGCACCACAACTGTTGACTTCACAGCCCAAATCCCTTAACTCTGGAGATTCTGTGACTGCTGACATTTTCAGACTTGCTTAAAGACCTATCTTTTCACTCAAGCTGTTAATGCATAATTTACAGTTACTCCTGGTTCACAAACGTGCTGTGTTTTTCCTCACTAATGTTTCCTGCTATCAAGTGTATCACCGTTGGATACTGCTGAACAGCACTTAAAGAGTTTGTTCCAAAGCCCTGTGATACTATTATTAAAACGTGGACAACCATGGCAAAATATGTGAAATACAACGGCTTACTCAAAAACATTTACTTTACAGTATGAATACACAGCCGGAAAAATAAATGCCACCTTTGCTACATATACTGTAGATAAAAACTTAATGGAAGCACGTTTAGTGTGGCCTTGTTGATAAAGTACATTCTCAATACCTAGGTGGCCATAAGAAAACTTGTTTGTGCATGGCATGCTTTTTATTTCGAAGTGTGAAATGCCCATGGAAAACCGAGAGAAACAATGCCAATAGTGGGGAAGCACTCAGTACTCACTTGCTGATGTATTCTCCAGTCAGGACCTTCCCACAGGCCTTGCACTTGAAGCAGCCCAGATGCCACTGTCTATCCAAGGCCAGGAGTGCCTGGCCATTCTTGATGTCTCTGCCACAGCCTGCACAGTCTGCAAAGCAAAGACGACACTCTTGTGTTAAACGCTGAAGATCCTTAACTATCTACAGTACTGCACATTGAGGGACCCACAGCTCTCAACAGCGAACTCCACATCGAGCAGAAGGCAATACAATGCCCTTTCGATTACAGTACCATTTATAAAGCAAAGCAACATTGGCATGTAATGATAAACAGTTGCCGTGCAACAATAATATGAATTGGATTTTTTGGGTAAGTGTTTTGCATGCTTTTCTTTAACACAGCAAAAATCCATCTAGTTTTCATCTGCCAGTCTAGATGAAGGCCTCAGCAACAATAATAATCTTTAAGAAAATAAAATGTCAGCGTGTAAAAATGTTACATTACTTTTTGTACTCTTTCAGCCTAGTAAATTGTAAAGGTTATGTAATTTTAATTCTCATCAGAACTACAGTATGCCTCTTATCACTAAAATTATTAATAGTACAGAATCCTCCAATTCCAAATTCCATTTGGTTCTACTATATTTATTCTGTAGATAAGAATCAAATTAAGAGCACCCACAGTATTAATACAAGGGTAGTTTATGTAATGCAGCAATAAAGATTAAAGGACGCTAACCATAATCACTATTTTGCAATTCATGTTTTTTTATTTATAGAAGTGACACTGTTATATCTCTTGAAATAAAGACTGAGCACTCTCTAAACAGTTTGGGTTAACAGTGCTTCAATCCACTGTTAAATCGCAACTCCCGCACCAGATACGTTGTAAATGTGAGGTAATAGTATGCTGTTAGATGATGAAATCCAGATGGTTCTTTCTGGCAGTGTATAAGCAGATTGAATCCAGTTCTGTGCCTGGTAAACAGATCTTTACATAAACTTCCTCCCTGACTTCCCTTCATGTAAAAATGACAGCTTCTAAAACTTAAACAATTTTTGGAGCCAGTGTGGAGGCCAGCATTTTCAACACTATTTCTCTTATTACTCTTTCTCTTATCTTTGTTTTTTTAACTTGTGAAACCCTCTCAATACAATTCATATGATTACAGGATTTATGTCATACATTAACACTAGGTGGCAGTAAAGACTATAAAAATGTGTTCTGTATGATCTGTCAACATCCAGTGAAAATCATATAATTTATAATGTTTGGTGCCTGAATTAATTCATCATAAAATGTGTTTGGGTTTTAAACATTTAAAAGTTTATTATTGTCAGCTAAGTGGCTACAGTTTGAACAGCCTTAAGCATAAAAAAATTAAATGGATTAATCAAGGTAAGACAAAGGCTAGATATCAAGTGTAATGTCACTGTTTTATAAAAAAAATACCAGACCATTTCAAAATTTACTAAATTAAATGTATTTTTAGAGAATGCAACCTAAAAATTAACAGGCATGTCATGTTTTATTTATGGTACTGCAAAAGCTTTTTAACATCCTCTGAAAAAAGGAAAGAAAAACATTTAAGCACACATGGTTTCTGCTAAAATAAGAGAGTCAAGGGGGACACAGCTATCCATAATTTATGGGAAAATGTGTGTTTTATTCATGAACCTATCATCAAATGCCCAGAAACCTATAGGAAATTGACTGTAATAAAAAGCAGCCCAAGTCTACATAAGACCTGAAGGGTTACCTATGCGTTTAATGCGAGCCCATGGCTGACTTTGTTCATGTGTCAAGAACACATCACACCAGCTGCAAAACACTACCACAGGGCTTTTTCAAAGATGGACATAGAAAACCCAGTGCATGTTGATATTAAAACACAGATATGTATTTCTATGCAGTTCTATTATGAAAAAGACCTAGGGGATTGTTTTTTATAAGCAAGTGACAATCAACTTACAGTCCACATATAATGCTGCTGTTCACAGAGGTTGGAATAAATCTAGGCCACAGCATTTGCTTTGTCTAGCTTTGCCAATTTCAAGAATGTAGAGCAGCTTAAAATGCAACATTGTTTTTCTCTTCCTTTGTATTACCGAAGTCAGAATAAATCCAGATAACGTCAACATTTCAATTTCAAACCTAATGAAATGATATTAAACAGGACTTGAATCTTAAAAATAAACAGTAATATATTTTGCATATTTTTATGGCTGAAATATAAAACTTATTTTCTTGAAAGTAAGGTGTGGTATTATTTAACATACAGTACTTGTGAATTATGATTTGGACATGGAATATAGAAGGTTAAAGGACATTGACAACCTTACATGTTGTGATTCAAGTTCTGAAAATCTATTACATTTATGTTAGTCCCCCACTGTAATCTCTAAATACAATTTTCCCTAATTGGCCTACTGAATTCAATCTCAATCTAAAGAGCTGCTCACTGATTAAAGGAGAGCTTCCTTGTTAACAGGCTGGGTGAAACAAAGAGACAAAGTGGTCCAGTGGTGAAAACAATACTTATTGTGAGGGGTTAGTCTCTGCTAAGTGACTGGTGATGGTAATCATTGTATTATTAAGGTAAAAATAGATGCTTTCGAACTCATCTTTGATTTACAAATTTTAAGGCAAAAAAGCTTTATTTTTTTCCCCTATGACAGTTTCACAAACTCTGTCTGTGCTATGGCCATCTGAGAAACACTCTATGAACCTTTATAATCAGATTGGTATTGCCATAAATGAGGAAATATATTAGTCCTCAGAAAGGAAGGCACTGATGAGGTGTCTGAAGTCACTGCGTGCACATCATCGTCATCTGCTTTGCGTGGTGAATTCTGAATCATGGGAATGCTAAAATAAAAATCACATAATTTTAACTGAGCCCAAAAAGCCAGGCCTCAGGCCAGGCCTTCCAAAATTAACAGAAAGCCCATAATCATGAACCATATTCTTATCAATTTCAATTATCTTGACTTCATCATACCCATGACTTCATCATACCCATAGTCTTATTATATAATATTCCACAGTGCTCAGCAACATATCCTGCCACAGGTAAACACTGTTCTAGTCCAGTAGGGTTTTCAGAAGAAATATTATTCTGTAATGATCAGAAATGATGATGTTCAGCTCAGTGACCCAAATCACTTTTCTTTCAGGACTAGGTTTTCCAAAATAATTCTTCCTCTAAATATTCTAAAAGATGACATATGACAGTTTTAAAACTGACTACATTGACTACTATTTCTACATATAAGGAAATGCGTTACAAAAAAGCTTTCCAATTTAAACCCATGTTAAAATTCATTGTGTCTTTAGGTCTTTAGAGCTAAATGTGTCATCACAGTTACCATAAAGCTACTCCGTGATTTCCTACAACAGGAGTTCAGAGATTACAAAACAGCTATAATTTTATGTGCAATATAGATTGTAGGGATTAAGATAGACCCATTCCATGTAGGAACTTCTATTGTTTAAAACAGACACCTGAAATGGGGAAGTCTTTAGATATCTAATAATGACACCCACCCTGCTGTGCCAAATTGCTTAAAAAGCCACATTTCTCTGGCTTCCACTTCTTCTTTCACCCAGCTATTTACAACGCTAGGGCTGAACACAACTGCAGAACAGCACCTCTTTGAAGGCCCTCTCCAAAGCAGTCAGAAACTTTAATCGCTTCTTGATGGAATTGTGATGAAAATCATGAAACACAAAAGGCTTAGTAGAGGGGTACACTTCTGAAATGTACATGATAAAAGTGCAGGACATGAGCTGGTCTCTGTGTGCACGGGGTTGAAGTCTCAGGGGTCAGGGCTGGTTGCCCACGCTCCAATAAGCACAAATAGAGGCTGCCTCACTGCAGGATTTAACACTTGAGCAGCAACCCATTATGGAAGCAAATTAGAGCATTTTGGCATTTGGGAATGTGAGCATCTCCCATATTAATGTCCTTTTCATGGCAAAGCATCTGTCCATAAGATCAGACATGGAGGTTTTATTTTAGCAGCTTGGGCTCATATGTCCAGCAACAATCAGGCACCTTCAACACTGCATAAAAAATATCAAAACTGACAAAGACGACTAGAATTCCTTCAATGGCTAGAATTCACTCAAATTCAAGAATTCCTTTGAAGCTGAAAGGCTAAAAACTACCTGTAGCAGGAAGAAAACACTAAGCTGTCATTTAATCCCTTAAGATGAAAAAATATTCATCCAAAATATTTTTTTCTGTCAGAGTATTTACTGTACATCCATAATAAGCAAATCTTCTAGTTTCCATAAATGGATAAACTTATTTAAAAAAGTGTTGCTCTGTGTGTTTCCTACTATAAATATTAAAAATAAAAGAATTTATGATAGTAGAGTGTAGTTTTGTCAATTAATTTGACCCCTTACAAATAAAGTATTTTAGAGTGCCATCTGAAAAGTACGATCTGGAAAACACAAAGAATCAGGATAATTGGTGGCTGACGTCATAAATCGTTTACCCAGTCAGGGACACAATGACCTTAACCAGGATGCCCATATAAATGAATCTTTGGATATATTATCCAAATACACTATTATACACTAATAGATATATTGGCAAGGATTATTTGACCCATCAAGCTTTATTCTGTAAAGACTCAAGAATGGCAAGGTAGTGTCACAGTCATTCAGCAAAAACTAGTCTCTGCATCCAAAATTAAAGCAATGTCTTTAAACGGTAATGAATGTAAAGATTCAACTTACTGTAAATATATTGATTTGGGCGATCAATATTAAATAAAATATTGTATCGTTTAAAAAAATATAGTATCTGTATTCAAAACATTTAGGAAGCAATTCATGTTATTTTAGTAATGTTTTGAATATAGACCCCATAGTGTTTTACTTGTGAAACTATTTTAAATTTTTTTTAAGAGTTACTCCAGAATTACATTTCATTTGTCATTTAACCACGATGCATTACATCTGAAATGAATTTAATACAAAAAGAATGACAAAAACACACCATTTAATTCCTAGCTAGCTTTATGTAATTAGCATATTCCTACAATTCCTTCAGCTTTGATGTTTTTGGAATAAAATAACTAAAATACTAGAATTAAATGTGAATGTTCCATTTCATTTATTCACCAAATTTTTTTTAATTGGCGACTTTTCTGATTGTAAACTGACATCTCTTCATCCATCCATTTTCTAACCATTTCAGCAATGCAGGGTCACAGTGGAGTCAGCACCTATTCTTGACAAGCAAAGGTTACCATGCGGAGTACACCTGGATGGGAAGCCCGTCCATTGCACGGCAGACACAGACAGAAGCCAATTAACCTATCAGTATGTCTTTGCACTGTGAGGGGAAACCAAAGCACCTATAGGAAACCCATGAAAACATGGGGAGAACACCATGCAGATAACAGCCCTGGTCCAGAATGAAACCCTGTGCCCCCGTATTGTGAGATAACACACTAACCACTGCACCACTATGCCACCCAACAATATACTGTCGAAACTACTATTTTAACATGTCTGGAAACTTATTGCAGCGTTAAGATTTTCTCACAACATTATTAATATTAATTGTCCACTTGCTTGGAATGTATGCAAAATATCTGTCCTGTGTGCCTATATAATATATGTGTGCCTGAAAAGTATTTTCACTTCCAATTCTGAATTTTGAATACCTTATTTTTTTTCCCCAATATACAGATCTAGTATATCCGAGACAGAATGTCAAGATGTTTTTCTTCTTATTTATATCTTCTTAGTTATTCAAACCTCTGCAATGTTGAACTGAAACAACAAAAAAACACATACTGAGAGATTAAAAATCTGATGATATTCTATTAGTTATCGAAGTTGTCTTGAAATAAAAAATAATCTTTCAAAAAGTTAACACCTGCTGCATATCAAAATGGACATTCTGTATATTACCCATCTTGCATCTATTGTTTTATGTACCTATATATCCTATCAACCAAATACCATGACAATCCAAAGTGGTGATTTTAATAACTGAACTTGTCTTTTTTTGTATATATACCTTCCAATCTTCTTTGTATCTATCTTTGAAGAAGCATGTCTGTGTCGACAGGTGTGTACATGGCAGAGTGACTGACAGGCGTATGGTATAGCTGATTTTTGACACTTTGATGCACATTGGAATTGTATCAAAGAATACAATACAAAACATCATGCATTAAAATAGTGCACTGAGACTTCCAAGTGATTCAAACAGTAAAAGCATTTACTCAGAATTTACATGAAGTTCTGTGGACCAACTGCAGCCTGGAATACATTATGAAAGGTTCTATAAAAATACAACATATTATCTGATGGAGATTCCCCAAGCAATGGCACACAGCACCAACAAAGCTGAGTGGGCTGTAATCTGCTTCCCTTGCCACAAACCCACTGGTTTCACTGCCACTGCGGGCGCCCGAGAGCTTGCAGCATAGTCAGTGATAAAAGTGTCACTAATTCTCCTGTAAGGCACCACGGAGCTTACAGCGAATTAAATTGTGAACACTTCTAACAGGTGGACATGTTGATGTACTGCTCTGAGTCTTTAAACCCTGTGCACACCCTGGTGAAGTCAAAAACTGGGATGCTTTAAAGTAGAGCAAGTTCTAAAATCTGTTGACATTGACCTGTGACCACCAGCGGCCAGTCACAACTCAGAAACACAGATGTGCTCTGATAAAAAGTCAGCCTCGAACGGAAATAAAGTACTGCAGTACTGTCAGTCAACTGTTGCGCATTCCATCAGCCCAGCTGTCTTGTTTCCATAGAGGAAGGTATTTTAAAACAGACTAACTAGCATTGTCAAATATTCTCTTTGATACACATCTATTGAGGTGGATCACATGCTTGTTTCCTGCCCTGCCTTACCCAGAACCAGATCAGTCAATGATAAAACACAACATCTCTACAGCAGTTCTCTTTGGAAGTCAGGGAGAAGAAAGGGCATATATATTGTGTTCAATTCAGACACTGGCAATACTTTATGTCTTAGGAGCCATATAAGAAATTATAAAGAATATATAAATATTTTATTCCTTACAGATCATACAGGTTCAATACTCAATATTTACAGTTAGTAAATACAACTGGTATTGATAATTGAATACATTTGAGCACACTTTTGCTATAGCATACAGTATTTTACTTGGTACACTGCAATCTTCATATGTCCAGTAACACTGCACATTAGGTAAGAGTTGGATACTACAGTAGGTTGTTTACAATCATAATTTAAATTTTATATTAGCAATATTAAAATGACATTTTATTGGCCTGGACTTTGCAGAAAGTAGTCTCTCGAACCTTGGAGGTTCCTGATGCTTGGTGGTGTGTTTGAAGCTTGTTTATGTATCTTGTACACATCACTTACTGCTGGAGCTGCTGATCTCTTTGGGACTGGAAGACATTGGTTGGACACACCTCTGGCAGAGACAGTCTTTCCCATTGAAGGTAACTCGGTCTCCTGCGGGAAAGGGTCGTCTGGAAGGGAAATTACATTTCTAACGGTTATTCAGCATGACACCACAATTTCTTTCCTACCATCCAAAAAGCCTTTCAAATATGTTCTTGGCATCCGCAAACTGAAAGCATATCCAAAAAGCCACCTTCAAAAAAATGCAGTGAGGCTAATTTACATTCTATGTGATGCATGCAGACAGCACTGAGACTACTAAACACAGTAGTCTAGGAAAGACAAGACTTACAGTACATTTCCATTACATCTGACCACTGTCAGTACAGTTACTCATTTATTGTAGTGCATTATCTTTCAAAAGATGAGCACACTTCTTGCGGGAAGACAGAATTTTACATTGTCATGGGTTTTTTTTCTCTGTTAATTTGAGTCACTAATGGAACTCAAAGCTTGGGATATCTGTTCCAAAATCCATCCTCTTATGACAGCTGAAGCCTAGTGCAAAAGAATAGGGCACAAGGCATGGCTGAGACTGGAGCACCCATTGAAAACCAATGTAAAAGCTGGGAGAACATGCAAAGCCCACACACACAAATACCCTGGTCTGAACTGAAACCAGAGCCCTAGACCCGGGAGGCTTGAGTTTGTATTGAAAACATGTAATGGCTAATTTCTTTTATAAGCATTACGTCATTATAAAAAGGTAAGTTAAAAAGCAATCTTGGGGCCTCCCAAATGGCGTAACATAGTAAAAGCTCCTATTTGGAGTATACTTTTTAGTCCCATACTCCAAATACTGCAGAACTGAATCAACGTCTTCATTATTCAACTGTGACCATTAATTTCCAGGCCTTGCTCCACTACTAATCAAACAGTACAAGGGTCATGTGGATTTTAATCACTCACATGTAAGCCATGATTAAATATTTTATGTCTGGGGTAGGCTCCGTCTCCCACACGACTTTGATTTGGAAGAAGCAGTTAGAAAATGGATGGATGTCTGGGGCACTTCTGAGAATATTGAACAAGTCATGGTGCTGACTCCATAAACTCAATTTAACTCCTGCTTCTTGCTAGCTACCTACTGACTTGCAGCGATGACGAAAGAAAATGTACAGTACCTCTCCTATCAGGTGCTGTGGTACAGTACATGCCAAGCCAATATCTGTCTCTGTGAGTGGGAGAAGCATGAACGTCGTATGTCTATTTTTATCCCAAGTGTGTGCAGGAGTCATCGTGGGAGTCATTGCGATAGAGCCAATTCTTAATACAACTGGCAGTTCTATATTAGGCCGACGTCTTAAAATAGCTTATTCCCATTTAAAAAAAAAAGATTGTACATTTGGGTTAGATGAAGCAATAGGATTTTCCTATCAATCTGATGAAACACCAAAAGTAAAGGAGTAACAGGACAGATATGAGTAATTACACTCACTGTATCCTTTTAATATTAAAATACTTTGGTAATGAAGCCCAATATCTTTATAATGAATGTGCTTGATGGTACAGTAGAATTGGAAAATATGCACGTTACAACATTATACAATACATCTCTAGAATACTACAGAGAGTTGTAGACTTCACCACTCTCTAATATAAAATGTCCAAGGTTGTGGAATGATTGTTCTTACTTGCAAATGGTGCAGACAAAACAGGTAGGATGATATGTCTTTCCCAGAGCTGTGACAACTTCTCCCTCTACAAAGTCCCCACAGCCGTTACAGCGGGTGCCATGCAAACGTTGATAGTCCAGGGTACAGAGATACTCTCCGTTCTTCATGAAGAAGCCCCCCTGGGCCAGGTCGCAGCCACACACTACGGAGAGAAACAGGGCAGCCTGTCAGTCATTCCCGTAGATTCATGAATGCAGCTCATAGGCCAAAACATTAACAAACTCCCCCAAATAAACGCACTGGGCATCCCCATGCAATAAGAACCTCCCAGACAGGAAGTGGCATGTTTTCCAAAAGATTCTGAAAGCTCTGCAGTCCAATCCCACTTCATCTGTCTTACAAACTGACATTCTACCAAGGCTGTAACGCTGGTGATAGTGCGTCGGATTGAACTGCAGCTGAATCTGGTTCCTCATTCTTGTTTAAAAATGAAACATTTTCCTGCTGGGAACAGGTCGTGAAAGTCTCTAGCTTCTTAAGCTAACCACACAGTACATTGTCTATCAAGAAAAACTAGTCAACAATTGTGAACCAGAGGGGGCCAAGTTCCTTTTTCCCTTTTCTTCCAAAAATGATCTTATTTGAATGGTTCCTTCCATCAAAGGAAAACAAGATTATTTTGTACAATCAATCAACCTTTCACTTAATAAGTATTCTAAGTAATCTTAACTAAATATTTAAATGCAAAATTTCCTAAAGTCTCTAATCTAATCTAACGAATTAAGTTATTTTGTTTTAATATTCCACAAATCCAAATCTGGAGAAAAGACCTTAGCATCTGAACATCAGCTGTAAACAAACTTCTGATAGCAAAAAAAAATCATCTGCTGGAAACCAATCAAGAATTTAACAATACTCTCTACAGGATAACACAGATGAACATACTGTAAAAACCCTCTGAATTACAATACTGAAGTCATTACATAATTCAATGAGTGGTTTACTTCTTCAAAATTCGGAAATCCCACTCTTTAGTTTTAAACTGAAAATAGATTAAGAATTGTTCATCATTGTTAATTACTTACTTGGCCTTAAGTGCTGCGAGCACCATAATACCTTACAGAATTGGTGGAGTGGCACATCTGCCTCTGATGTCAGTGTAAGTACATAGGTGCCTGAATGGTCCCAGAACTCCTTGGCATTGCATGCCAAGAAGCTCAACCCCACCCAGCCTTGTGCTCCACTTATTAAAAAATGCCAGTCACAATGCAGGCTGTAAGACAGCCCAAGATGACAACGTATGGGCTATGAGCAATAGCCTTTACATAAGAAAGTTACAAAAAGAACCTTGACCCATTCATAGTAAACTGGATGAGATCCTCTGATTAACTACCTACTGTTTCTTAAAAGGCTTCAACAACATGGGTAAGCTGTTCCACACCCCCGCAACCCTTTTTGTAAAGTACCAAATGCATTTACTATATTACAAGCCCCATTATTTATCCCATCTCTACATTACAAACCAATATTGTTTATCCTCTTTAATTTTGTTTTTCAGTATTCCTACTAGCTGAAACCACTTCTTCCCACTCACCAAACTAAATTTGCACAAGTTGACTCATCTCTACTCTTTTAATCTCCATATAAAACTACAGAGCAGATTTAAAACAAAGAAGTGGTGGCTCTGATCAAATTACAGGTTTGCTTTTCCTGTTACCCTTGAATGATGAGCTCCTGTGATCTTTGCGGAAGGAATAGGAATTAAAAAAACTGGGGTAAAAGTACAAATAAAGGTAATAAAATATAGGCTCTATTAAGTAGTACCATTACAGGCTGTTGATTACAGATACAATTAACACCTCTTATCACTAAATTACAATAATTCACTAAATTATACTTCTTTAAGATGTGGTTTAAATGCAGGACTGAGGTAGCTCATATGCTACTGCAGTTATGCAGTAAATGATCATGTACAGTCATGCCTAATTAAGGGTTCTATAGTTTAATATATGAAGTTTTTTTACACTGCTTCAACTTATGCTATCACACTACACAGAACTAAACAACTTCATAATATATGTCAGCAGATGATAAAGATATAAGCAGGGCAGCATTCATATTAACATACAGGGCACAATTTAGATTATCAAGGAAAGTGGACAGTGTGATTTATACTAAGACCTTAATCTTAAACTAAGACAGTATCCAAAAACACAAATGTGAACAAAAACAGGTCAAACGTAGACTAAGTATCTAGCACAAATGAAATGTAGTGGACTGGGTTTGCACTAAACCAACTGTCAGCTGCCATATCACCCTGCAACTCCCAACTGGAAACCCAATGAAGCTTGGCAGGTATGAGCTTGGCCAGTACCTGGATGGGAGACCTCCTGGGAAAAACTAAGGTTTCTGCTGGAAGAGGTGTTAGTGGGGCCAGCAGGGGCCGCTCACCCTGCAGTCTGTGACGTGGACACTATACTGTAAAAAGGTGCCATCCCTCGAAAGACGTAAAACCAAGGTCCTGACTCTCTGTGGTCATTAAAAATCCCAGGGTGTTTCTTGAAAGGAGTAGGGGTGTTATACAAGTGCAAGCACTCATTATTAATTATTATTAAAGCAAAAGGGCAAGTGGAAGTATCTGCTCAACTGAGTGTTTAGCAACTATGAATGGAAAAAACAACAATTGTGTGGTTCTGTGTATCTTTTGTGTGGTTCTGTGTATTTCTGACCTCCTGGTTGGAGCAATATTGTTGGCTACAGTATAACAAAGCAGTACAACTGGATTTTATTTAAGACATTTACAGGATGACTGTAAAAGACTTCAGTACCAAAACAAAGTTTCCCACCCAGTTTCTGAAAGCAATTATAGAATTTAGTAGTGCAAATCAGGCCAAAGACAATAACAGTGTAGGAAGAAAGGAATGTTTTTTCCCAGTTAATTTTAGTTAAATATACCCTAAGCAGAGATTTGTATCTTTTCTTCTTTTAGAACTACTGTACTTATGCTGAATACATCTTAGTTTGGGAGAAACGATACCATGCTTGTTCACCTTTAAAACCTTAATCTCAATTTAAGGCAGGGCTCCACACTAAAAAAAAATAATGAATTCTCTTGCTCTGTACATGTAGGTCAGTCCTCCTCTTTTTGTCTGTACTCCTTTTGTTAGAACATTAAAACTATATACAGCCACGAATGGAGTATCTATTCATCAGAGTCTGACCCAGTGTCATTGACCATCACAATATCAGTGTCACTTGGCCATCCTGTATACTGAGGCATCCTCTTCCTCTTGATTGAGCCAAGCCAGCGCCTCACACAGAGCTCAGGATCAAAGTGCTCAAGTGAAGGGCCTTCTGAGCTGATCCTGATTAAATCCTCCAACGTTGAGATGAAAAGTGAATTGCGGACTTTTGATTTTATTCTGTTTTGTGCAGAAAAGCCTCGTTCACACTGTGCAGCTGATATGGGTAGCACAAACATGATCTGACCTAAATGCAAAACATTACTGAAATCTGTACAGTAAGGCTCTTTTGTCAAGATGACCTCCCACAAACTACTGTTGGATATGTCTGCAAACTGGCCTTTGATGAGCCTTTGCAGCCGTTCATCTGCAATGCACCCAATAATCACAGCACATGCGATGTCGTTATCATACGCGTTTGATACATCCATTCCGTTCTTTTGTTTTAGCAATTCCTCGGGTGCGATCATGTAGGCTGCATTAAATTTAATTCCCAGTTCTTTAAAGTCTTTCTTGGCTGTTTTTTCACAGGCGTGAGACACAGCCCGGGCTCAAGGTGTCTGTCTTGGGGCACACTTCGCAATTACACTATCACAAGCATTTTTATGCTTCTGACTCCATGTTTTTTTCCATGTTTCTTTTTTTAAATGATTCATCCCTTTGAAAACTTTTTCCTGCAACTTCCTGACCGGTTTTAGAACAAAAGTCGCAATATATCATGTTTAAATCGCTCAATTTAGACAGTTGTTCGGATGCACTTTCGTCCATACTCAAATAAACTTAGCTGGATGGGTTTTGAGGATTCACTGCAGTGGTCGAAGGTCCCATGGGAGATGCATCAAACTCTTTTAAAAACTCTGTAATTTTATGCTTCACCATTGTTAGCAGATCAGCTAGCATGTGGAACGTTTGCAGTAGCCTGTGTTCTAGTGCAAAGCTTCTTAGTTTGCTACCTTTCAACCAAGTCACAAATCAGAGGTTATGTGAAGTGCACTGAAAAAAAATACATTTAAACATACTAGATTTTAAATTGTACATCAGACTATACATTCCCTTTTCACAAGTTACTATACACACATTCCTTTCAGTCAGCAAAAGCAAACTGCAAATTGACTGCCAGTGGCTTTAAAGTCAGAAAAAGAACACAATACTTAAGGCCCTTGGCATCCTTCTGCAGCAGTGATGGTCAGCCCTAACTACAGTATGATGAGCAGCAATCCAACAGGTTGTATATTAGTCCCCAGATGATTCATAAAAGACTCATAAACATTAATTATACATTAGCAACAACTTGGTACAAATGGTAGGCATTTAATCAAATTATCTTTTTAATTAGCTCAGTGGACAATTCTGATCATTTAAGACCTCAAGGTATTCATATTATAATGACAAAAGATTGCTACCAATTGTTGATAAATGGTTATCTTTAAAACCTGCTCAACTGTGGCTCTCTGAAGTGGTCCAGCTCATTTTGTAGTCAAACCACTGGTCTAAATCCTGTGTAGAGAAAGCCTTGGTTCCTGGACTACTGTGCACATTCAATTTGTGTAAAAAAAACTACTTGCTTCCCACATCTATACTTACATGCTGTGAAACATTCCTGTCCTGGGTCAGGGAACTTTGCACATGAATACCTGAAATTATGAAATCCAAGAGGTCTTCTGGTCTTTATTTAGAAAATGGGTTGGTTTATTCCTAACACAGTTTTCCAATAAGAGCAGAGGTTTCTTTTTTCAGCCATACAGGATTAAAGAGAGAGTGACTACCACCATCCCTTGACTGCTACAGAAATTTAAAATCTCATAAACCTTTTCCCAAAACCTACAGCTAAACACTACCTTTCCATTTAATGACACACCCACTTATACACAAAACACACTAATCCAGGCCATGCAGACAATTTCCCAAATTAAACACATATGAGAATGCACCCTAGAAGGAGTAAACTGAAAATAAAGGACATTTAATTTTTATTTCTACTTTCTAAAACCATTATTTAAAAAAAACGCCCACACAATCTGGAATTGCTCTCCGAATGCACTGCTTGGGAATAAGTGAGTCAAATGGACATCCCCACTGAAGAGCCATTCACCATTTGGCTAAATGCACAGAACCTAACAGGAGAGATTATACAGTACCAATTGGAGAAGAGGTGTACCTCTCTGTGATGTCACTCTTAGTTGCAGAAGCCTGCCAATGGGGACCTACTATTTACCGGAAAGCTGAGAAAGTCATGGCCCACTAGACCCAGCCAGGTTTTAATTATTTATAACTGCATCATAGAGCTCACCCTGCTCCCTGAGTGAGTAGAACGATCAACTTCACTAGAGGGGCTCAACTGTTCATACTGTATTTCTAAGACCACTACTTCCAGGAGGAAGGGATATTTCATGCGATGCACATCTTGTCAGGTGTACTCTGTTTAGTGTTAAATTTTCCGATCCCTCCAGGATAAGTCCTGAAGCAATGATGGGTAAGAATTTCAGGAACAGCGTTGTTAAGGCTCCTATATCTCTCAGCTTCTTCAGGCACTCAATACCCTGATCCAAAACAAACCTAAAGAGTATCTTGTGCCTTTACACTTTACCAGTGGGTCTTTCAAAACCTCTGAACGAGTTCAAATTAATGCCAGAGTGCAAAACAAGAAAACAAGCAAGTCAATTGTTTTATACAGGGTACAAAACTTTACAATGTTTCCAATTTAGACAACAAAATCTCTTATGTAGCAATTTTAACTTTATATCCAACCATAAATTTAACATTATTGATTGGACTAATAGCACTCATAATATGTTCAGCACTCAGGACCTTTTCTGAACATGGATTCAATAAAACCAACTTCACCTTATTCTGTAGATAATAATAATTGAGACATCTTGTGTTCTAAGGGCTGACTGCAGCATAATCTTTCACAGCTACACATGTTTTATTCACTATTTAGATGGAAAGTACTGTGTGTGCAAGCCCATAAACAGATCAGGTCATGGGGTAGGTGGGTATCAGAGACACATTTCCGAAAGGCAGTTGATGTAGTGGGATACCCTGTACCCTGTTTGAAGATTGGGAACAGACGAAGAAACGAGGACTAGGACCCTAAATAACGGTATAATCCAGAAGAGACTGGAGAAGGGCTACAGGGAAAACACGGTGAGGGAAGGACTGGATGACGAACAGGAGGCGGTGGTGACAGCGATCCAGCTGCATGGGGGGTGCGCAGGCAAATGAGGGAAGTCCAAATGGGAAACTAGGGTACAGTCCAGGGTCCAAGTGCCAGGAGATCCGTCCAAGACATACAATTAAAGCCAGGAACGAGATCAGGGACAGGAACAGGGACAAGGACGTTAAAAACAGAGTGACGAGGCCAGGCGCTCCGGAATAGTGCCATAGTCTCTATTTCACTGTTAACATAACAGAAATCCACATTAAACTAATACTTTCTTAACTTTGACATATTAGGAGAATAATGCTTTTTCCCAAGCAATTTAATCCCCGGAAACTTTTCAAAGCATTTAGTATAAAAGTTTCCATTTAAAATGTCAATCACTTGTCACACAACAGACTGCTATTCACACACAAAAAAATAGAATTGGTAATGTTAAAATGGGGTTCAGCATATATGTAGCTAAAATGTGCTATATAATCTGGAGAGATGTGTCTGTTCAGCTAAACCAAAACCGTTTGTCTTTGATCCCCTTGGCATGCGATCATTTGAGCCGAGGACTTGAGGCTAATTGCCGAAGTTTTCACTTCCCATTAGGCAACCATCCCCAGAGTTTATTGCAAGAAAAACAGATGATGAAATCATGCCAGGTCAGAACTCTCAACAGCATACATGCTGTGCCACCCCCAATATCTGCTTTCCCTTGGTCTTGCAGTTTTAATTTGACCTAATAATAAAAGCTATCGAAGACTAGAACCCAGATTTAAAAAATCAATACTAGCAAAATAAAAAAGAAATCTGCAGCTTTTTGGCTTGCTTAATTGCCCCAGGGAACAAAAGATAACCTTTACTTCAAGTAAACATTTGTTTAACAAACACCCTCATCTAGGGAAACAATTATGTACAAGCATACTGTATAAGAATAAATATGATAACCTGCCAGAAAAACAGCCAATTACAAAAGCTAGTATAATTCTGGAAATGCAGTGTAACTATAGACTCCATTAGTACAGTACAGTAAGATTTATTGAAGAACATAGGTCTGAAGACGGATGGACTCTGGAAGTGGAAGGATGGAGAGGGAGTAAATAACACCTGGTGCAAGAGGAGAAGCGAAAAGGATGACAGGTGGTTACTGAAGAATGTATATAAAGTCTGTCCTTCTTTGCAATGACAGCATATGAAAGGAGGCACTTCACAGTTTCTGCTAAATAAGGTATAACTGCCTTGATTTAGAAATGCAAGATACTGTACATATCCTAACACCACGCAGCTTAATTGCTTGGAAATCAAGCATAAACCTTTTAGTAATGTACTGTACTTCACACATACAATATTAAGCTAGCTTTTGCCATGTAAAAAAGGTATCTTACGAAAGTGTTTAATCTGATTACAGACCAGTTAACCACAGCCTCAGAATGCAGCACATCACACAGTCCATCACACATAAAGGCTTTTACATTACTGCCTTCTATGGTGATAACAGAAAATAAGTGTATCTACAGAGCAAACTCAGTTCCAACCAAATGTCACATCACTATTAATGTTCTATAAATGGTATAAGGCATTAAAATAGGGCCAAGTGTTATTTTATGAAAGTTATAATGCAAATACAGTATATTGCATGATTTACACCCACAGTCAGGATTAACAGTATTTTTTTTATTCTGTAACAAACTATGTACTATATGAAAGTCACTATCCTAAAGGCAAATTTGTATTCTAACTTTCTTTTGCTTTCTTTACATTTTTAATAGTTCATCCAATTTCACTATTTTTCCCTACAGTTTTTTGTATGGTTTGAGTGCTATGGTAGCATAATTAACACGGACAACTTAAATGCAAACTCCCTTAATTTACTTATCAGTATGATATTTTTATTTAAATGTAAAGAAATAGTACATGGCATGGTGCCCTTTTTAAGATTTACTGTAGTATATATAACAATATTATCCAAAATCTCAAAGGCAGATAAAAAAATACTGTACATGTAACACCATATTGAAAATCCAGTGAGGATTGAGGTTTGAGGAAGACAAAAACAAGTCTAACATGCCTAAATATCAAGGTACGTTTACATCATGTAAGCACTAGTTTTTTACCTTTGATGATAACTAGATCTCTGCACGGTCTCAAACTGACAAAATACATGTGTGCACCATCACAAACCTCTTCATTCATATTGAAGCATAATTATATTGGCAAAGCGAAATGGAAGTACAGACGCCATCCCTTCAGATTATATATTTAATATCACTACAGCTGGAAAACAAGGCACAGAGAAAATACAGCTTGGTTAAGCTTTTTTTAAAAACTAAACAGATATTTCACAGCCTTCGAACACTGCCAAATCCTTTAATTATAGTGGAGTTAAACTGCATTTCCATCATTTCCTCCAGCCTTCATAAATACAGAATACATTCTGGCTATACAAGATACTGAATTTGAACATGTTGCACATTAGAATTGCAAACAGCATTACAAGAGAAAAATAAATTAAGTCTATTCAATTGAGTAGTATAAGAGTGAAAAATATAAATCTTATCCCATAAAAAAACTTAATTTTTCAATTTTCAATTGTCAAAAAACAAAACCACAAGGGATCTCAATAAGTAAAAGTTTATATTAAAGTCTAGAACCTGCAGGCAGAATTTCACAGTCTAGAAAAAGCAATGCAATAAGTTGCCAATGTACTTACCCGAATCTGGTATTTATGTGCACAGAGGTTTCATGAAAAGATGTGCTAGTGATTCTCCTGATGTTTTGATAGTTTCCTCACTTAAGCTCATTAATCACACTACAATTCAGAGTTTAATGGTAAAAACAAGTCACCACGAAGAGTAACTCTGAGGTTGGTGGCTGGGTTTGCATGTTATCTAAACTCTTCCCACTTTATATACAAATGTTATTGAGAAATGCTGCCTGCTGATATTTAGAACCGACCAGAAAGTGCTTCAACCAGTTTTTGCAGAGGCAATAGGCAGCTGTCCAAAGACAATCTGGACATTTCCCTTCACAGGGAGTGAAAACGCCAGCAGGGGTGAATCTACCAGAATTCAGTCAACACCCCCACAATGCATCAATATTACTAAGAGCATTATTTTTCTTTCTGCAGAATTCCTTTATAGGCACTTTGTTTTTTAAGCTTCTGGTTTCTATCACAACAGGTTATGAGTGTTATCTATTGATCAATGACCTTGAACTAATTACTTTCCTTGTCTCTTCTCAATTACCTTTTCATACTGCACATTAAGAAATAGGAAAAATGAACAGCTGAGCAATAATCACCCTGCAGCAATGGCAATGCAGCATGTTACTCATTTACTTTATATACTGCATGTAATACAAAGGATATAAAAAATATCAGAAGAGCAATGTACAGTACAGTATGGGAGGTTAGTAAATGAAGCACAAATAAGAGCAACAGAGATGACTGTAGTTCCTGATGGATCATTTTTCTCAACAGCATCATGATAGCAAAGGACAGTAACTTCCTGTTTGGCAAAAGAAAATAACTTCTCCTTTCTATTTAAAGTATTTTAGTATAACAAAGCTAAGCCATAAAAAGCCTGTTTAATCGAATATTGTAAGCATATTCAGACATCTTGTATAAACCTACCATTGTATAAAGAAATAATTAATCATTTAACATTTTATTAGGAAAAATCATACAACACAAATAGGAACACAACTGATTCTTTCTTATGAGAAGAATTAAAAACAAATGACTTGGGACCATTTGAATGGGGTGAAATACATTTTCTTAGTCATATGAACTAGCACCTTTTATTTATTCCTTCTCCTGAGGTGCTGCTTAAGACATTTTTTATTGTTCTTCAGTTTAAGTGTCATTCATCAACATCTACCAATCTACCTTCCTCCAACAAATAACTGTAATAATCAATTAGTTGAATTATCAATTTATTGGCATGCTATTGACTGATGATGTAGTTGACGCAACTAAGAATAAGGGAAAATACCTGCTGGCATCCAGAGAATTCATGTAATTGGCAAGTACTTACGCTAAAAAGTAAGAACTGGCTTTGTATTGTACTTTTAGATACAATAAATATATTAAAGGCTGGCTTTGTATTGATTGCTTTTAATTGTATTGATATAATGATATAAGAAGCATTATAATTATAATGTATTATTATATACGCATTATTATATAAGCAGCCTTACCAAAATCTAAAAAAAAATCAAGTGAAATTCCTCAGCTAATTTTCCTGCAGGGAAAAAAGAAGCAGGAAGGAAAGGACAGAAATCTTTCACTTGAGCAGGTAAAAATAACAATGATTGAATTAAATAGCACAGAAACCAAAGAGTACACATCCGGGCTGAAATTGTCAGTTTCCATTCCAAACTCTAATATGTATAAAATCAATTGTGGACCTCAATGAAAACTGACATTTTATGAAAATGCAAGGAAGATATGGAAGAAAATCAAATTGACACTGTGGTCTCCAGTCTGGTCTGGGCTGTGGTACAAGCAAAATGAACTATAGTTCTTGGTTATAAAGACCAAAGATATGCAAGCATATGCAAGTGTATCACAGAAATCATACATAATCTGGCACAACTGGAAAGCCCTACCACCAAAAATGGTAGAAGATATTAAAGGCATTCAAGCCAAAACAGAATAGTATGAATGGTTATGAGACAATTTGCTGCACCAGCAGGCATTGTATCTATTGATTCAAAGCTGCTTGCTACTGTTTAGGAGTACAATAAGCACAAACATTCATTAGCAATTATAACACAAGCACATAACTACAAAGGAAAAGCATTTTAGATGTATTTTTTGTGGGAGATTTCAAGCTTTTCATCTGAGATGCAATCCTACAGCTACCAGTAGTACAGTGTTTATTTGCGAAATAAAATTCTTTAACATTAACTGCATTCTCCGCACAACTTAGCAGCCGAGGAGACTGTGGTATTTTTGGGAGCCAATTAGAATTCATAGCTATTTTGTTGAGCAGTATGCCACTCCCAAGAAGTAACAACTGCTGGGTGTGGGAGATCAGGGATGGTATAAGGAATGAGGTAGGTGCTGCAGCTGCCCCTATATTTCAGCAAGGATTGCTGATATAAGCACCGTATACTATTAGAAACTTTAGTCAACCCCACTGAAAGACCAGTCCTACTAACCTGCACTAACATGATCTTGCAGGCAATCACAAAGAACATCTGGTAAGAGGAAACCAGGTATGTTCAGTGAAAATAAATTAAAAACACCAGTTGGGATTGTGGTTTCAGCTCCCTCCTCTTCCATGCTTTGGTCATCATTAAATGAGGGCACAGCTGAATCACACCAGGTGCAAATGTCTTGAGCAGGTGTTGGAATAATCGCGCACAGAGAACGAACACCACAGTCAGCACAACATGCTCCATCGGGATAATAATATAGGCTGGCCCTCCCTCCATCTCTGGGTCAGAGATCTTCATCTCAGCCCATTTTACACCTATAGTAGAATTTAACCGAGTCCCCAAGGCAGCTGAACCGCACGTTATACAATGAACAATATCATTTTCATTGGAGAGAAGTGCTGCTCTTACAGAGCACCAGCTTGCAGGAAGTCACCTTGCTCGACTTCCTGCTGATAAGCCCGAAAACTGTTTATGAAAGTTAACCATTGTGATCAAATTTCCTTGTATTCAGCACTTAACCTTGCAACAGAGAGAGATAAATACCTAGTGATTTAAAATTTAAATAAACCTAAGAACAATTAAAATGCAGCGCTATTTTTGTTGTAGGAGGCAAAATGTTCATTGGCACTGTAATGAAATGCTTCTCCACTCATAAATAAAAACAAGTATGTGTTTATTCAGATCTGAGGAAAGCATTAGAACTCTCTATAGTGAAGGGAAAAGATCTTTTCATAAACAAATTGAAAAGATGAATGCATTAGCCCCTTTGAAGAATTTGAATAATATACCCCTCAGGACAGCTCCTTATTATTGGGATTTCAAAATTCAAGGAAAAGAAACAAGAGTGTTAGTAAAATCAAGTGAGAATTCGTCAATTTCCAATCCACCCAGCCATTTCCAACTGAAAGCTGATATTCATTTCAGCCTGAAACAAGAGGAGCAGGAGACTAATAAATTAGTGAAAAATGCCAAATATATGGTATTGTCACAGAGAGGGCTGGAGGGATGCCCAAGTTAGTTCTTTTAAAATAGAATAATGACTCAGCTGCATTAGCACTTACTGTAGGTGCAAAAGTAGTGGTTTATTTGGACAGTGCTCCCCACAAACCAACAATTATAAATAGTGCAAAAATAACAAATAGAACAAAAATACACAGAAAAAAAATACACAAACACTTCCTCCAAGAGTTATAAGCTTGGAGTCCAATCCCACTTAGGTCAATTTCAGCTATCTCTCCTTCTATCACGGATGCAGGTCTACAGAACCATGAGTTGCTTGTCAAGAGGTGACTCTGGGTTGCGCTCCTACAGTAGCTCTTCACAACAGGTATAAATGTTGTGTTGGCCTTGTATTCAGCAGGTCCACCAAGCCAACCGCCCTATCATATAAAGTTTCAAATTAGTCTATTAAAATAAATCATAACCAATCATTATGGCTCTTGAAATTTTTACAACATGTGCACTTCCCCATCACATGGGTGATGTTATGAAGGAAAAGCTGGACCATTAAGTCTTAACTGGAATTCAGGTATTGCTGAATGTTTCAACCTCACAGAGCTTAAAAATATCCCCCCACACTTCCTTTTTGCAATGACCTTTGCCATTTAAAGCACAGAGCTCTTTCCATTTAGTGAGCTACACTGAAGCATATTTCTGAAGATGTCAGTGTGTTCATAAAAGATGTAAAACTAGCCTGCACTAGAAAATGTATAGTATACAGTCAGTTTCTATATACAGAAAAAAGGTACCAAGTACACATCAATGAACACATGTGGTCAGGAAATTGAAATCAAGTGGATGAGCCATCTTGGAGATAAATACACATTAATGATTATTATGTGGGTATTGAAAAAACAACCTGTTCTGATGGTTGTTGGGAATTATTGATTGAAATCTTTAATTTATTTTAGTCACAACATGTAGAGGAGTTGAAGAGATGATGACTAAGCCTATCAAAAGTCAGGTGTGCCCTTAGAGAGAACAATTTAGCACATACTGTACAAAAATTGACCACCTTTGCTAAATAATCTCTGAAAATATTTGTCATGGAAACATGGTGATGTCATCCCCTAGCCCTGCTACAAAAATACTTGCCCTCACCTTCCTCCAATTTTTGACCTTGATGTGCACTAAGGTCTTCCACTTCTTGTTAACGTAAATCCTCAGCTGTTGAGTGGCTATGATTCCTGGCATATCACTGCCTTCATGGTCCTCACCTCCTGAGGGATAAGAAATGCTATTTCTGTTTCCACAGCTCTTTAACAGCTCCTGAAGACTGAGCCAGAAATAGGAACAGCCTTCCTCGCCAGTGAGGCACGGGCCATACTGTGGAGCGAGCAAAAGCTCTGTATCTTGGATGCTAGGAGAGACCTTTGTGGTCCTCCTAAAAGCAACATAACAGTAGTCTTTCTTTACTGATGGCCAAAAGCTGTAGAAGAAAAGTATTTACCTCACACTACTCATTTAGAGTCAAGATAACTTCTTTTGCAAATTTAAACAAAATTAGCTAAATTAAACATTTCTACTTCATTCTATGGCATAGTCTACACAAAGAGATTAGCATACAGTATGCAAACAAAATACAATTGCTTTTCCATTCATTTATTCCACAGCAATGTCTCCATCTTTTCATCTTTTAAACATTCAAGGCTATCCATATATGATATTATAGTGGATGTACTGTACCAGGAGTTAGCAAAGATGCACAGCAAATTCTATTTCCACTGCAATGGGTGTGATTATACAGTACTACAGAATGGAAGAGTGGCAGATGGCCCTTATGTAACATAGACACGGCACAGCTGTAAAGAATGCCTGAGTCACGAGGAAAGAAGAACAAGTTATTTAGTAACGTCTCAAATGTTTACAAAATGCTTTCCTGTATACGCAATAGAAGGTAGTTTTGTTATTTGCATCATTTCTACTTCCTTCTCCTGTTTCACCAGCCAACTGACAGTTGCATTAGACTTACTATTTAATATGTTATTGTTTAATGTTATTCTTTTCATAGCTTCATATTCAAGGAATGAAATGGAAAAGAAATAATTTTCCCCCCCAAACTGCATCATGTCATTCCTAGTGCAGTTAAAAGCAAAAAACAAATATTTTCCTTTGCTTGAATGTCTTAAAATCATGTCCTTCTCCTGCTGCGTCAAGATTCTTCCTTTGAAAACATTCAATTCTAAACGTATAATGAAGCCATAAGGAAATCCATTTGTCAGTTTATGCTTCATTCAGACCACA